ACTTTACATCTTCAAAAACATTTGTCATGAGATAGGCAGTTCCTAAAGCTTTGGACTTGTTCATCCTGGTGGATCATTTCAGTTCTACGTGAGTTCAAAATGGATACAATTTTGAAGCACTCACAGGCAAATTCTACAGAGGAGGAACGTTCCATGGAAGTGGAAAGGAACAATTCACAGTTCTGGTTTCCAGCCGCCACAGTGAAGACGGGTGACTCCAGCTTCAGGGACAGTATGCATCTACACGCAGAGGAGCTATCCAAGGTTCTAGATCCTATTTTCAAAACAGATACATCACCTTAAAAAGCTCATTTAAAATTAATCCCAGTGTGTAAAACCCAGAGTGGATACACAGTAACAAAATAAATATCACTGGAGACCTCTGAATTGGGGCTCTCCAATCACAGTGCTTTGCAGGAGAGCTATTGAAGTGACAGAGATGAAATTAGTCCTATGTTTTCATTGATCTTTGAAGGCTGGCTCTGCATTATTTGCAAACTAAAAAGCATGTCACCTTGACAGTCATTGGTAAACCAAAAGGGAGCTCAAAACAATTTTATAAATAAAAGTTAATCCCCTGCACAAATTCTCCAAAATGTTTGCAAAGAACTTATCTATAAGTACCTCTTTGCTGTATGATATATCCATGCAAAGTGGATGTGACAAAACACAGAGAAGATAGGACATCTTTTAAATGTACAAATATACACACGCACAACCACACATTCTCAAAAACCTTTTTGCACAGTCTCCCTATATCTTGTTTGTTTGAAATCTAGCTATGTTTGTTCCCCTAGAGAGGGTTTTATGCCCACAAGGTTTTGCCAATTTAATTGGAAAAAATAGTAATTTGTTGATTTCTTCATTATAGCCAACAGAAAAGTCATCTAAAGCTTCAGTAAATAAACCCAAGGTAAGGCGTGTTTCATATTGAAGCTAAAGTGAGATGCCAGTCTGGAGCACTGAATGAAACTGATCTCAAATAGTTCCCAAAGCACTCTCCCCCCTCCCTCATTTGGTGCTCATCTACCAGATGAAATAATGCAAACAAGATGGGAACATATGGCTAGAATTCTGTTGAGGAACTATGGAATGGAGGGGAAATCGTACGAGCTGTCCCCTCACCCTGATAGTAGACTGTCCTTCATGCAACTGATTGAGTGCTGCCTGTGAAATCAATCTCACTATGGATAGCCTTCCATGATTGCCTAGGCATGTGTGGTTCTTCTTTGCAGGATTGAGCCCATGCATGTTCTGATACACACTTTGCTTTGGGGTCCTTCTCAACACTCCTCAAGCAGGCTGCTTTGAGATGGCAATTTGGCTCTATCTGAAACAGTTGCTCCTATGCTGTATGCTGTATCAGCTAGAGGTACACCTAGGGGTGAGGGAAAGTAATGAATAAACAAGGTTGCTTGCAAGTGATTAATTGATTTAAAGAATGTCCAAGCCCACTTTTCAATTAAACCAAATTCCTAAAGACCAGGGTCATATCCCTTTCAATACAAATGAACATGTGAATAGGGCAAGCAGCACTCACCCTTCATGCAGGAATGGACCTTGTAAACATAATTAAGAAGATTTCTTCCTGTGTTTGAATCATTGTTATATAGAGGGTTCAAACTGAAAACACCTCTATCAACATGCTGGAGAAATTAAAAAGCTTTTAGCGGAAGGTACAGACAAATTAATGGAGTAATTGCCATGCAACGGGAGGGGGGGGGCTAGGATGCAGCAGAGAAAAATTAACCACTAAGCAAATCAATTAGAATGTGGAAGAATAAAAATGCTATCAGCAGCAAAACAAAAGACAGGAATATCAAGGCATATACGTATTTTTGTCAAATCAGAAGCAAATTAGGTGCATTAATGGCCAATTATAATTTCACCTTGGTTTGGATCAGTGCTTTCAGAAACATGATAACTTCCTTTTTAGCAGGGAAGCAACTTTCCAGCAGAAGGAAATAAATGTGTTTGTTACTTCAACATCTTCATCAGTCTTTAAATGTTATTGTTATTATGTGCCATCAAATCACCTCCAATTTATGATGATACTATGAATGAACGATCTTCAAAATGTCCTGTCCTCAACAGCCATGCTAAGCTCTTGTAAACACAAGGCTGTGAGGTCCTTGGGAGTTGGTGTGTGCTCCAACACTGGAGGCCTTCAAGAAAACCTTAGATCATCATCTGGCAGATATGCTTTGATTGTATTCCTGTGTTGAGCAGGAGATTGGACTTGGTGGCCTTGTAGGTCCCTTCCAACTTCACTTTTCTATGATTCTATGAGTCAATCCATCTCATCTTCGGTCTTCTTTTCCTGCTGCCCTCAACTTTCCCCACTATTATTATGCCCCCCCCACTGAATTTGGCCTTTATGCAACTGATTGAGTGCTGCCTGTGAAATCAATCTCACTATGGATAGCCTTCCATGATTGCCTAGGCATGTGTGGTTCTTCTTTGCAGGATTGAGCCCATGCATGTTCTGATACACACTTTGCTTTGGGGTCCTTCTCAACACTGTGATGTGACCAAAATAAGACAGACTCAATTTCATCATTTTTGCCTCTAGAGAAAGTTCAGTTTTCAAAGAGCTCTCCCTAGATGTCGAGCTGGATAAATGCATCGCAAAGCAGTTACCATGTTCTCTAGACTCACAAAAAGAATATGGCTTAATAAGATGCTGACGGCATATGCCAAGATCCAGGTCTATAGAGCCTGTGTCCTGAGTACACTCTTGTACTGTGAGAAACTAGTCAAGGAGACATGAAAGTATGCCTTCATCTAATTTAGTTGATTGCAGAATGTGATATCATCTGTACTAGCAGCTCGAAAGAATATATGGACACTGCAGTTCCCTTTCCTACTGTGTTTCCTTGAACAAAGTGGGAGGGGAAGCATCTAGCCCACTCCCAAGATATCAAACTGTACTGAGATCATGTTGGTGGGGCCCTAGCATAGCCATGTAGCCCCTTTTAGAGAATTCAGCTCTCTGTTTGAAGGGCTGATTCAAGACAGTCCATTTCTGGAAGGTTTCTCTCTTGGAAGGACTATACACTCACGTCTGATTTAAACATAAAGAGCTGTGATGTCCAGGATGGTGGTCAGGGATCCCGGCACTGCACCATTAGCATCTGTTGGAGTCACAAAATGATCATAAGTCTGTTTCAATTATTAAACACTTTTAAATGTCACACAGTCTAGCTACTTATTAGCCCTGCCCCACTAGTGGTTGCTATCAGCATGTTTAGAAACTTGCACCTTAGGTGTACAGATGCACTGAATACCGTATTTTCCATGTATAAGACTATACTTTTCTCTAAAATCTTTAGACTAAAAATTGAGGGTTGTCTTATACACGGAAGTAAGCTGAGGAGAGAACAAAAACAAGTGGAGGGGAAAGCAGGGATCAAAGTGATCCTGCAGGGCTTTTATCCCTTTCCCCCTACACTTGCTAAGCCCCACTTAGATTTCTTAATTTTGGATTAGAAAAGTGGGGGTGTCTTATACATGGAAAAATACGGTAACTAGTCTAATTTGGCTCTACGTACACCTACTTAGATATACACATACTTAGAGGACATGGTGGCACTGTGGGTTAAACCACAGAAGGCTCTGTGCTGCAAGGTCAGAAGACCTGCAGTTGTAAGATTGAATCCATGTGATGGAGTGAGCCCCCGCCACTTGTCCCATCTCCCGCCAGCCTAGAGGTTCGAAAGCATGCAAAATGCAAAATACAAGTAGATAAATGGGTACCACCATGGTGGGAAGGTAATGGCGTTCCGTATCTAGTCGCGCTGGCCACATGACCACAGAAGATTGTCTTCAGAAAAACACTAGCTCTATGGATTGGAAACGAAGATGAGCACCATATTGATTATGTTATAATTATTTTATTGTTGACTCATTTTATTTATTATTAGACTTGTGTCCAATATTAAGGCATGCAATTATCAGATTTTTGGACCTCAAATACCATATTTCTTCACTCTGGGTGTTCCACCTGACAAAAACTCACCCACAGACACTTAAATATGGCTCACCTGGAGAAAAGTCCTAGCCATGAAGACTTCAAGGCCTAGGTTCCTATTCAGAAATAAAATTCCAACTTGCAGTGGGACAACTTTCTTTCTGCACAGGAAGCTGGACATGAAGCCTTCCAAGCTAGCAAATCACATTGTTGACTTTGTTTTTCCTCTGTTTGTATGTTTCAGCCCATTGGTGGATTTCCTGCATCCAAATAATATTTCTGATAAAGAATGGTGCAATTCTTCATTGGATTGAAGTTAAATTTCCTATTTTATCTCTGCAAAGCAATTAAAAATGTTGCATTTCATTGTTGTGCTATGTCTTTCTCCTTTGCATTTGTACTCTGTAGTGGGTTTAATCCTATAAATCTTTGCCTTGGAGTTGCTTCTATTGCTTTTAGTAGGACCTACTTCTGAGTTGATGTGCATAGGCTTACTCTATGCTAAATGCAGTTATTATTTCCAACTCAGGTGGACTCTCTGAATCAATGAAACTCATATAATTGTTGGCTTTTCAAATTTACTATAGTTACTTGGGATAAGCAATTGAATTTAGCCTTCCAGATGCCCCTTACTATGCATATTTTGGAAGAAGAGATAAGGAACAGCTACCACTAATATCTTCTCTGCTTTTAGATGCAAAGTCAGTTGCTTTGTCCAGGCAACCTTGAGCAACTCAGTCACTCTGGTAGTCAATAATTGACTACAACTAATGCACTTGGGTAATGAATGGTTCAAGAGACACATTTGGCTTTAATGGACCTTTTACTTCTGCAGTGAAAGATTTCAGGACTGGAGATTTACCTCTGGCATCTGGTGCTGCACCTGTCTCTAATGGAAAGCTACAACTCTGTTTTTAAAAAGTGTTCTTCCTTCCATGGATGCCCTTGTAGATCTATTGGTTTCAGCTGCCCCTGTTAAGAAGTTTGTTCCCTCAGATATCATTAAATAGCCACTTGTGTGTCAGATCTCCTTATGCACACCTGCAGTCTTGAAGCCTTCCATGAAAGATAACCTTATGTTGTTAAAGAAGGTGACTTTTTTGTGTGTGAAGTAACTGCCTGGCTATCAAAGGTAAATTTTTCTCCTGTAATGGCTGTTAGATACACACAAATTTGGCTTCAATAAACTGGATATTTATACGGGGTCTATAACTTAGTTGCTTCCAGTTTGCCAACTATTCAGAAGGTTTTGAAAAAGGTGATTAATGACCTGCCATTTAATAAATTAATGACTTGATTGCATTGAAATATATTTGCATATTTCCAGTTCTTGAGTATAGGTGCTTTATTGAGCAATAGTAGGAAGGATACGATAACTTGAAATGTAATAATTAAAAGCTACCAATCATTAGAAGGACTGCCTATCTCCAGAATCCTCTTTCTTATTATCTAGTTTCATTTCTTCACTAAACGGGAAGAGTGATTTAATTAAGCATAATCAGAAGCAAGGATGTCCAGATAAAATCTTTGGCTTCCCAATTCAGAAGCATCATTCTCAATAATTGCATCAAGTTTGTTTTGAATTTCTGTTAGGTAGGTCAGCCATATGGAAAACAGAACTTTGAGAAGTACAATGCATGCTATGCTTCCACAGGAGTCCTATTCAGCAGATGGAGAAGCAAAGTTTGTCAACACACTGAGAGGTGAGTGCCTCTTTGTCAAAACTTGCCAAATGCATTTCATCAATGGATGTGTAGTGGAGAAGTCCCTGCTCATACAAAGAGTGTCCACATGAACAAGTAACTTGGAAAACTGGAGCTGTTGTCCATGTGGGTAGTTTCCCATGTTAGCCAGAACCTTCAGACTCATCATTAATGTGTGCAGAAAATGATGGTGTGCAACAGGGAGGCTAGACAGTCTCTTTTTTAAATGCTGACAAATTTGTATCCTCTGACAGCTGAACAAAGTTAATTATGGGAAAGTATCCTTGTAGTATGTTATGTACCTTTCATCTACACAGCATATAAAACTCCATACACATGGTATTGCCATCTTGCTCAATTTCCTACTTCCATTTTCTTGGCCATCACTGAACTGAAACTAGAGTGGCACTTTGACAATTGAATCGACTCAGATTTACAATTCTATTTAATTTACAAAAAGTATGGAAGCCCCAGCTTCCTTTCCATGAACTCACCTTAGATGATGATACATAGATATGTGACGGTAGCAGTTCAGGAGCAACATTAATGCCCCCCCCCCCGATTATTTGGTTGTTCTTGGTATGACTATCCTATTCTACAGCCTCTATTAATATAATAATAATTTATAGTTATGGTTTCAGAACTTCAGAGTAGGAAGGGATCATCAAGTCCAGCCCTTGTCACGAGGAACAGTGGGGAATCAAATTTCAAATCTCTGGTTCTGCCACTGAGCTATTCTGGTGTTCAAATCTGTGCTACACAGCTAGATCTAGAAGCCATTATAGCTTCTCTATTTACCCCCTATCAACACTATATCACCTATATCACTATATCAAGTTTCATGCTGTTCAGTGTGTCACTGCCCCACATACCCTAGTGGACAAGTCTAGGTGTAGCTGATTTAACTCTTGATCATGCAACTACTAATGTTCCATACATGAAAAGTGTTTCAGTGCCAGATTCCATAAGTGTTAGACTTACTACTATTCAAGTGATATTGTAGCTGCTATCCCATTGTAGAGCTTCAGAAGTAATTATTAAGAAGAATGAATATGATATGATGAAGCCCTTCTGAGTGGTGTACGATGATGCTCTGGGATCCAAGAGCATCATCCTGTTAACCACTTTGCTGTGGACAGTTCAGCCTGTATTATATTCCTTCTTTTAAAAATAAACTTTCCAAGTTCTGCCTTATGGGTACATACGAATATAGAGAATTGTTCTAGGTCCACAAAGAGAAATAGGTTTTTCCCCTGTATATTTGTTTCTATTTGATTGCCTTTTCCATCAAAGGAACTTCTAATCCATGGCATTATCAGCTTATTTAAAGTGGCTGTATCACTTGAGAAGAGCCAAAGCAGATATCTTTATTAGATGCTTTTATACACACCATAGCAACACATTATGAAAAGTATTAATCACTTCTTGAGATAAATCCAATAAAAGCAATGAAATATTCAGTATGTATGTCACTTTACTAAGTCACACTGAGGGAAATCAGCTTGATTGCCTTTATTGACTGTTATTAGGTCCCTCTTCACTGTCAATGATTTTGTACAAGAGTTATAAAGCACTATTTCATGGTGATGGTGTCCACTGGTAGACTACAGTGACTTGCAGTTCTCCTTTCTTGAACTAGTATAGAACCCCGTATCATTTCTAAAAAGAAACAAGGGCTCTTAGAAGTGCTACAATACTAAAATAAATTCCTATGGTAAAGAATAGATTGGTTTTTTTAATAGTTTTTTTTTAAATGCTTGGCCTTTGACTTACTTTTTACCTGCCCAGTGTTACCTAAACCCAAGGTTGTTTTATGTAAATATCTTTGCTTTGATCTAGTATTTTTTCAGTAAACACAAGGCAGGTGGACATTTTAGTTACCTGAGGGCTTATCACTTTTTCTTTCTTTGTACTTTACATTCAAAAAACAGGATTACACCCTTTGTTTCCTTCTGAAATATGTAGTTAACAAAGCAACCCTTTTTCAAATCTTTGGCTATTATGCAATCTAAAAACAACCCCTCTAATATTCCTAAAATAATGTTTTTCTTTGTTTGTTACTCAGTTCAATCTCCTATGTATTTTTTAAAAATGCCCTAGCTCCTTGTTGAAAATCATGATTTCCATCTCTCTGAAAAATCTCACTATATTTTCCATCAATCTTGAAATGGGAATCCTTAGCATATGTTTTTAAAAATGAAGTATTATTTCTGAAAAGTAATTTTTCCCTCCACACATACTCATTTCAAGGCAGTATAAATTTGGGGGCTATGTTTTTCTCTGCATTGCTTGTTAATATAAATAATATGGGAGGGTAAAGATTAACCACTAGCCATATGTAATGTTTCCAGATCAGTGCCATCATATTATCTAAAATTTAAGGGTCAACACCTGGCACAGGCAAGAGTTGTGAGGAAAGGGATATGACAAGGATACAAACACCTTTCTGGTGAACCACTAAGGCATGCTATCACCTGAGAATGGGTAACATGGGTGTCCAGGATTTTAAAACACCTCTCTCACACACAAACAAAACCTTCTGTTCCTCCTCTCACCCTCGCCTGGAAACCTGAGAAGGAAGGAAATTTCCTGAGACTTAATCTGGTGCCCTGAGACTGGCCAACCCTAGCCATTGGCTTTCAGATGTGGAAAATGCGTTCCACAGCATGCAGAACACATAATAGAAAAACCTTAATTACCGTATTTTTCGCACCATAAGACACACTTTTTTTTCCAAAAAAACATTGGGGAAAAAGTGTATGCGTCTTATGGAACAAAATTCCCAGATTATTTTTTCCTGTTTTCTTCGCCTAAAAATTTGGTGCGTCTTATGGAGAGGTGTGTCTTATGGAGTGAAAAATACGGTAGATTCAAATGAAGGAAGAGTGAAATTTGGTGCAAGAAACATCAAATATGTAAAGTCTACAGATGATACCATATTACTGACAGAAAATGGCAGTGACCAGAAATAATTAATTATGAAGGCTAAAGAAGAAAGTGCAAAAGCAAGATTGCAATTGAACATTAATACGACCAAAATTATAACAACAGAACTGCATACCTTTACTGATGATAATGAAGAAATCAAAACAATTAATGGTTTTGTATGCCTCAGTTCAATAATTAATCCAACAGACTGCAGGCAAGAAATCAGAAGATGAAGAGTTGAAAGGACAGCTATGAAAGAACTATAACAGAATGTCAAGGGTAAGGATGTGTTACAAGAAAGCAAGACCAAACTTATTCATACTGTGGCATTTCCAATTGCTATATAGGGGTGTGAAAACTGGAAAAGGGAAAAAACTGACAGTAAAACAACAATCCATTTGAAATATGGTGTTTAAGGAGAACTTTATGAAAACCCTGGATTGCCTGAAAGACATAAATGGGTTCTACACCAAATAAAGCCTGAGCTCTCATTGGAAGCTAATGACTGAATTGAGGCAACCATGCTTTGGATGTGATGAGACTCACTGGAAAAGACAGTAATGCTGGGAAACGTTGAAGGCAGCAGGAAAAAGGGAAGACTAAATAGATGTATATACTCAACACAAGAAGGCACAGTCTTGAATATTTGAGCCCTGAGCAAGACAGAACCTTTTGGAGTCCACTGATTCAGAGGCAACTTGATGACACATGACAACAATGAACACGGCAGCAACAATAATGATGGCAATTCAGTTTGAGGTTGTTGTTTTTTTCCAGAATTCCAGGCAGCCACCTAGAGAGTCTTCCAGGATACCCCATTCCTTTCACTTACCCAAACCTTATTTATTCCAGAGTAAATTCTCAGTAGGTTTCTGTCCAGTGTCCATGCTAGCTGTGTGATTTTGGAAGGTGTAGTCCAAAAATGTAGCTTTCCCCATCTTTGGCTATGGCTGCATAAAAATTCCTACTTAAAACATGAGTTCACTATTCATGTGCAGAATCCCTTTACACCATTTTATCCCTTCTTATCCCTTGTGCCTGAGGACAGCTATTTCTACAGTTCATGTCAAAGTTTAGGCTGAAAATTGTGTGACAGGCTGCCTCTTTTCTGTGTTCTGTTAGTTCTGCACAGAAAAGTTTACATTCCCTGCACTCAGTTCATTTCAAGTCTGTTCCTTTGGTTTCTTCACAGCCTCGAATTACCAGCATTACCATAGTTGAATAATCTTGACACCTCTATCCCAACTGATAAACACATTTCTATGAAAAGTGTACTGTCCGTCATGGATGAGCACAGCTACATCAAGATACAATTTAGTTTGCTGAAATGGCATCGGCAGAAACAGGGAAGATCTCACAGAGACGATTGGACTCTCCTGGCAGCTCTACAAACTGGAACACATCTGAGAAAATGTTCTTAGCAAAAAAAAAATTGCCTGGGGGATGTCAGATTCCTCTTGAATGCTGTGATAAATGTGAAGCTTGCTAGAATAAGTATTAACTATGTGATAGAAGAAAAATAAAATAAAATAAAATTTGCCGAGTTGGATATAACAGTTGACAAGACTCGGTACAATCTCTGCAAAATGATAAAGTACAAAAGGTTCAGACTATAAACATGTTTTGCACATCTTCCCTTTTCCATGTCACAAACTTTCAAATTTAGCCATGTGGAAACCATTCCAAACAAACCTAGAATTTGGGTGGATGGCAGGAAACATGATTCTGGGGGCTTTAGCTATCATTTTCCTGGGGGGGGGGAAGGTTGATTTGATGAGGGAAATTGGCAGGTAAGAGAAGAAGGTGCTTAACCCTTCCTTCACTGTGTCACTACTGCGGTCCCCAAAGTTATTTTCTCCAAACTGGGATTCCAATCTGATTCAAGCTTGTAGTTAGAGCATAATATCCAAGAAGCGTTCCAAGGGGAAATGGTGGATGCAAGAACATTTTAGTACCTTTCTCATTTCTCCACCATGAAACAGCACCAAGAAAAATATATCATCTATTGCTGTGTGATATAATTTTGAAACCATTTCCTACATTTATATCACACATTTCACTAATCTATTCACCACCCAATTTTGTGGGGTCTCATGCTCACAGTGGCTACTTCAATTTTGCCTTATTGTACATCTTCTCCTAGAACATGTCTCTAGTTTTGTGACTTTGTAGATGACCAAAGAAAGTTACTTCCTGCACCATTTATTTGTGAGTATGGCCCAATTAATGTGTATATCTGTATTTGGACAAACAAAGAGAGTTTTGCTGCGTAGACATGATAGGTTTACCAGAGTTCATTTGAGCAAGTGAAACATGATTATCCCACATTTGAGCAAGCTGATAGCATAACCCCACACATTTAACTCGGAAGTAAGTCCTGTTGAGTCTTACTCTCACAGTGGTTGTGGTCTAGTGGGGAACACCTTCTCTGTTGTCTGGGAGGGATTTTGAAGTAAACGTTTCTTAATGAAGTGTGTGCTTTCTCAAAGCTAGCCCTTCTGCCTTAAACTTGGGCTAGCTTGTGAAGGAATGATTTGTGATAACCCAATCAAAGAAGAAATCTCAGATGTAAAATGAATTCAGTGCACTTCCTTTAAAAAGTGCGTAAATTGCAAAACAAGTGTACAATAAACCAATGAAATACATGAAAACCAGATGGTACAAGGAAAATAATGTGCAATCAGTGTATAGTCCATCCAAATTTAAGAAAGGAGAGAGAATATGAGAGAAAGAGAAAATTTGCAATGCTAAGCAAGAATTTGCATCAGACAGGTTACCGAGTAAGGGAGAGCCTCCCTATTGAAGTGGGGTATTTGCAGGTTAAAGTAGGACTTAATAAGGGGGAAAAAAAAGGGGGGGGAAGGAGGAGACACAGAAAGAGGCAGACTTTTTTGTTTTGCTGCCTTTATCCCATGGCTGAGATCCAAGGAGGCAGAGTTACTAGCATGTAGCAAATCAGGTCTCTAACTACAAGCACAGTCAGATGTGTAGAGATGTAATGTAGTCACATCATGGCTGGAAGCTTAAGAGAACACATCAAGAAAGAATGTGCATAAACAAAACAAGAAGGTCAGTGAATAGTGTCTCATAGACACTCCTCCAACAGAGTGGCCTTCTCAATATTGCAGCCCAACCAAAATGCTTTCTTTGCTTTGCTTTGCTTGCTTCTCTGATGCCAACATTTTGGTAATTCATCAGTTGCTGCCAGGATGGTCTGGTTTTTTCCAGTGCCTATGTGAGTGTCATGTTTTTGTTTAGCCCACCTTCTCTGCAGAATGCTTGAAGCAGCTGTTCTGGAGACTTTGAAAAGAAGATTCTGGATTGGAGTTCATATCAAAGGCTCCTTTGTAATCTTTATCTTTCAGCTTCTTTTGTCAACCTGCCATGCCTTTCTACACCACATGCACACATGCAACCCCCTCATCATTCCCACAGACCCAAATCAACACTTCAGAAGTTACCTTCTTCCAGTCTTGATTGTCTCTTGATTCTGGGTGTTTTTGTTGTTGTTGGAAAACTTCTGCTACCTTCTTCTGGTATAATCTCTGTGAGAGATATAACACAGAAGGGTGTTTAATGTACTAGCTAGCACCATACATCGCCAATGTATATTTGAAAGCAGGAATACATGTGAAAACATTAAGAGGCCTTAGTAGACCGCATGTTAGGTGTGGGTCAACATTATGGCATGGCAGGGAAAAAAGCACATACAAAATTAGGCTCTATCAACACTATTGTTCATGCCAAAATCAAATGACGTAATGGTGCCACTCTATTCTGCTTTGGGATGGTATTCTATCTACATAAGATTAAATGGGGTGGCCCCTCATTTTAGCAGATTACTACCCAGAGAGGCAGATTTCCCAATATATTACTAGGCATTTATTCCACTTTTACCATTATTGTGTGCATTTTTTAAACAAAAGATTTAAAATCTTTTGTAATGGATTTTATACTAATGCTTGTGGAATAAATATAATAAGCTAGCTTATAATTATACTTTAGGTATCTGGCTTTGGTGTCAGAGGCTGGGAATTTGATCTCCCACTGTGCCTCCCGTGTGGCCTTGAGCAAGCTGCACAACCCCAGGTGCTCTCTACCTAGAAAAGCCTGGAAAGGGGTTGCTGTAAATCAGATTTGACTTGGTGGCACATTATTATTATTAGTTTCTGCTGCCTGCTTTTCTGATTTTCTTCTTATTTTGACTTCTCCAAGTGCCGAATGTGTTTTGAATGCAACAGGCTGCCCTAGTCCATTGTGGAACAGGCCGAGGTCTGTCTGTTTAGATCCAGAATATCCCTGAATCTGTCTAAATGGCTCTGAATTCAGCTCAAAATCCTTCAATTTTTCCTCCTACAGCAAGGTCATTGTTGTAAAGAACACTTTCAAGTGCAGTCCGAGGGCAATGGTTCTGTTGCACAGTGGCTTGTGTCCTTGTGGCAAAAGGACACAAGCCTTCCTTGAGATTCTTCAGTGAAAAGTGAAACAGAACAGCAGTTAATGCAGAGAGAGGAGACCTGGGCATTGCGATGTGTCATTCCTAGCCCCCAGACCTTCAAGGGAAATCTGGCAATCAAGCTAAAGACAGCAGATAAGGGAGATTGTAGCTTGTGGTTAGAGGTGAGTGAACCAGAAGAAAGTTCAAAGAGCAAGACAGAACCAAACCAAGTTGCCTGAATATCAAAAAGAATAGAAAAATTCTGGTGATTCCCCCTCCTCCCCCAAAAAAGCTCACAATTTTTTCATAACATTAAGGCTGTCAGCTGGGGCTTTGGGACATCAAAATCTAGAGGTGAACCCGTTAGTGAGCATTAGGAAATAATTGGCAATATTTTCGAGACCTGTTTAATTCCCTTTTTAAAACCAAACCAAATCAACTTCCCTACCCTTCTCCTTCGTAGGGGCTTAAAGCCATGTCTCTGCATGGAATGAGAGATGGTGCCAAAATTTCTAGTTACAGCTCAACACAAAATCATTCCACAGCTTTGTTTCTATTTCTGTTGCTGCTGTACTCGAAGTATACGGTGAGAAGAAATTTTAAAATGGACAGTATTAAAATGAATAAGAATTGCCTTTGCAATTAATCCCTGATCATTCATGGTCCAAGCAGGGATGGTGACTCCATCATTTCAGTGCTTAAACCATGGATTCCCCTTCCCAATAGTTTCCACTGATGACAAATTCATCTAGATGTCTTTATGTTTTGACATACTGGCTGAAATCCAGTAGTAAGTTGTTACTAGAGCAGCAAGCCCATCAAATCGGTGTGGATTTGGTGAGTAATCTCCTTCATAAGTGCCATTACTTCAATGGGCCTACTCTAGTTGCAGCTTACTACTGGATTACATCCAGCATTTAACCAAAAGCCCTCTTCAAGCCACTCTCCAATGTCCTGTTTTTGGGCAAAATATTACAGTGGGCGGTGGCTTCCAAACTTCACAGGTTGCTGTATGAAACTGATTATCTTTATTCATTTCAATCTGACTTCAGAAATAGTTATGGGATGCAGACAGTTTGGGTCATCTGGATGGATAATCTATGTTGGGAACTAAATGGGGAAGTATGGCCTTGTTGATTCTGTTGGATTTCTCAGTGGCTTTCAATACTATCAACTATGGTATCCTTCTGCATCATCTCTCTGGGATAAGGCTCGGAGGCACTGTTTTTCAGTTACTCCAATCCTTACATAGGTGGTGTTGGGGAACTACTTCCCATTCTTCAACCCTTAGCCTGTAGTGTCTTCCAGAGTTCTCCTTTGTCTCCCATGCTATATAATATTTACATGAAACTACTGTGAGAGGTGGTCTGGAGTTTTGGAGTTCAGCATCACTATCATGTGGATGACAATTTAATCCAGACAAAAGTGCCTCTGATCAGTTAAAAGGCAGATCATGGAATGATGGGGAGTATAACTCCTGTGATGGATGGAGTTATACTCCCTTTAAAAAACCAGGCTTGTTATTTGAGAGTAGTCCATGACTCATCTCTGAGCCAGGAAGCCACACAAGATTGGAAATAAGAATGTGGAGGTCCTTCCGTTGTGCTAGGAACCCTGGTCAACCCAAATTCCCACCTCTGTGATGGAAGCCTGTGTATGTATGTATTCATGGCTCCCTTCTGTATCAACCAGAGTTTCCATTGCTCTGACCAACACTCCTCTCCCTGAAGTTTGTCCAGCCAATCAGAACCAATCTTACCAACATTCCAAGCATCTCACCCATTCTCTTCCATCACATGCTTACCAAACCACTTCATTTCAAAACATTGCACTTACCATTGCTATAGAAACAAATCATTTAAACATAATCAGGCATCATTTGAGGAGCATTTTTCAGAGAGAGTACTCTGAGTGGTCAAGTAGATGTGAACATACATTTTATGTAAATAGGTAGCTTTCTGTTGGGTTTTATTAGTTATTATAAACTACCTTGG